CACAGAGGCCCCCAGTTCCCCTGTATCGCACCTGGCCAGGGCCAGACGCACCCCTGCTCAGAGCATCCACCATGAAGCCAGAGCATGGGACCCAACTCAGCCGTCGAGGGTGGCCGGGCTCCGGCCGGGGCTGGGGTCGGCGGGCAGACACCGCCTGCTGGGTGCACAGGGCTGAGGCACTGGGTGGCCTCTCCTCCCCCGGCTCCGCTCTCACCCCACCTACAGGAACGCGCCACAGCCAGGGTGCAGAACTGAGGGCATGTCCAGGGACAGTGGGGCCTGGCAAAGCTACAGGTCAGGGGAAGGTGGCACCACTCAGCCCCTGAGCCTGCACCCAGCTCCCGGTGGCAAGATCAGCCCTGGCCTGCTTGCTCTCCAGGAGGCCTCTGTGCCAGGCGGGCTGCCCTCCATCCTGCACCCTGTAGGCCCCACTGCCTGCCCCTGGGCCCTGAGGCTGGAGAGGAGCTCTCCCCGCCATCTTCCTCAGCTGACCTGAGGCTGGTCTGCCACCTCCAGCCCGGGCCTGACCCCTGCCTGGGGCCCCCAGGAAGTGGTACCCCTTCTCCAGGCTCCCCTCCCCCAGGACAGAGCCTCTTCCCACAGGGGGATCCTCCCCCCACCACTGATGCCCTCAGAGACACTCTGCCGGAAGCCCTCACGCCCCCTCCTCCACCACAGCCCCTCGCCCCCGCTCAGAGTGGAGGCTTAGGGACTGCACCTAGCCCGGTCAGCAGGGCCCTGCCCACTGCAAGGTGTGTCCTGGCAGAGGCTCCCCAAGGGGGCCCAATGGCCGAGACTCCACAGAACTGTGTCTCCAAGTGCAGGGAGGTGGGGAGAGGGCTCCCTGGTCCCGCTGTGCTAGGAGATGCACACGCACACACATGTCCGTCACGCATGCGCACACACATTGTGCATCTGTGCACCTGCACAAATGTAAACGTGTGTGCAAACAGACACACATGAGCATGCAGACATGCACGCATGCACCCGCGCACTCACGGGCCCGCCACACACAGCCCGGGGCTCACGGTGCGGCCCCTCCCCAGCCATGGTCCTGCTGTTCGTCGCGTGGATGAAGCGCAGGGAGAAGGAGCGCCACACGAAGCAGCTGCTCATCGACCCCGAGGACGACGTGCGCGACAACATCCTCAAGTACGACGAGGAGGGCGGCGGCGAGGAGGACCAGGTAGGGGCATGTGTGAGTGCCGGTGCCCTGCCCCACACAGGGGCGAGGAGGACCAGGTAGGGGCATGTGTGAGTGCCCAGTGCCCTGCCCCACACAGGGGCGAGGAGGACCAGGTAGAGGCGTGTGTGAGTGTCCGGTGCCCTGCCCCACACAGGGGCGAGGAGGACCAGGTAGGGGCATGTGTGAGTGCCCAGTGCCCTGCCCCACACAGGGGCGAGGAGGACCAGGTAGGGGCGTGTGTGAGTGCCCGGTGCCCTGCCCCACACAGGGGCGAGGAGGACCAGGTAG